TTATTTTTATTTGTCATATTTGGATTAACATGCTCATTAAGAAAATAATGATTGTCATGATTATTTTACCATACTAATTAGTTTTTTAACTATATCTTGAAAAATAGATAATTAATACTAACGATAAAATATTTTTAAAAATAACTATTTTTTCTTGATATTTTAAATAACAAATAAAAATAAAAATTTATCTTGAAATAGCGGACAAATAAAAACGAATCGGGGAGCAGGAGTAACTAAAATATGACATAATTTAGTGATTAACTAATTAAAATATTGCTTCGATTTTCACCTTTTTAGTAAATTAATAACTTTTTAGTTAGCCATTTGAGAGAATAAACGAGTACCAAGAAGAAAATCTATTTCAAGAAACACACAAAAGATTAAATATTTTCTAAATATATATTCTTTTGAATAATGTTCTAATTCTTTCATTTTTATTCGTTCAATATTAATTTGATATACGTTTTAAAATATAATTAATAAAATAATAATTTTATTATATCATTCTTTGAATATAATAAATTCAATATTTTGCAAAATATATTGTACAATGACTATAATTGTTAACAAAAATAAATTAGAAACTAAATAACAAATTATAATATTTTATAATTTTCTAAATGGACATTTATTTTTAATATAGTCGTAGACAAGTATAAGCACAAACTAAAGGGGACAATAGTTAATGTAATAATAAGATTACGATAGACATTATAATTTTTTCTAATAAAAATCCTGTACAATTTTTAAAAGAAATATATGGGCTTAGTAAGTATATATCACATCGTAAAGCTAAATGACAATTTTATCTATTATAAATTTTTTTTAATTAAAAAAAATCAGTCAATATTTTAAACATCTTCTTAGTGGGGATATATAGGATTACCCTTTTTTGGGAAAAAATGACTCAAAATTGAGTATTTATTAGCACAATCTATCAATTAAATTTCATACTTAACAAAGTTAGGCAGTGAGTTGAAAAAAATAATGGAAATTTATAGATGAGACATTTATTATGGGCAACTTTCACATATAGCAAATAAAAAATTTATATTTATATGTTATAGCAAACTTTGCATAATTGCGTTCCGTAGCAGACATAAAACTGTATAATTTGTTATATATATACAATTGTATAATTCGCTGGCCTATTTCGCTGCAATTGTATAATTTGTTTTAC